ATGGTGGCGAGCGGTATCAGAGTTGCGCATTTTAGCTGGTCTCCATGTACAAATGAATAGAAAGAGAGGTATTGTATCACCAATGTCCTCATATGTATTGACTAAATAAAGTATCAGTTATTATATTTTTTTGCTCGTGCATGATAGGCGGAGTGACCACTACTAACGATTTCAGCGAATTGGTATTCAGTCCTTTTTTAATCAGGCGTATGATTTTCAAAGTGAGGTTATTTTGGGCTGATTCATTGATTTAATTTATTGACTACAACACTAACCCAAAAGTTTTTTATTTATTTATAGGCCTACGCAATCGTCTGCTTGTTGATGAAGCCAGACGTTGTCGAGTTCAAGAATTTGCTAAGGACACCGTGTCGCGTCTCATAAATTTAGAGAACTAAATAATATTGAAATTATTTATATGCTTGTGACATGCATTTTGAATAGATGATGTACATGAATTTAGTTTAATATAATAATCATTTTGTGCATTTTCATTGGTCAAACAAATTCAAAATATGTGGATTGAGCAACGTTTGTCGACATATCGACAGGGTGTATAGGATGGTATTGAGATACGACGAAACTTATTCGTGATTTATTAGCGCACGAAAGAAATAGATATCGGAGATTTCTTTCTACCGATATAAAACATTATCTTAGGCGCATCACGGAAAGTTCTATAAAGTAGAGCTTGTAAACCTGTGACGCCGCGCTCTCCGTGACTGTTAATTTCACAAACTATGCTTTTTGATTAACTGACACTTTAACGTTGGTATTTAATTTTTACAACATTATTATCTTATCGTACGATCCGTGTATTTTTAGTACGAATTATTAGATATCCCGTAGCAACGCACGGACACGTTAACTAGCGGAAATAGAAAGCTTGTGTTCATATGCTTCATGGCCTCATGGGATCGGATGATGTCATGATGATCATTATATATATATATATTTAATATAGATAGATATAGTACAAAAACGACGACGACGTCGATCTGTGGCATTGGAACTAAACTGTGCGTGCCCGGCCGGCTAATGAATCTCATCTCATCAGCCGAGCCCCCAGAGCGATGAATTTGAGCCGAGGCAGCATACCATGGCGAACAAGCCGCACGCGCTGGCGAGGGCGAGGACGCCGCACGCCACGAACGCCGCCCAGTGGCTAACGGAGAGGGCTTTGGCGAAGCCCAGGCCGAGGAGCAGCGCACCGACGGACAAACCCATCACGGCCCCGACGCACTGAAACGCCATGTCGCGGGAACTCAGGTAGTCGGCCGCCGGATCGGGGATCGCCAGCTGGCCGCCGCCGCCCGCTTCTTCTTCTTCTTCTTGCTGGGGCAGCACCTGCTGGTTATTCAACGCGCCGCCGCCGCTGTTCTCCAGATCCATATTGTACATCGTTGATATATATTTTGAGTTTGTTGTGCTGTTATTTAAAAGCAGATTAAACTCCATCGGTCCTCACAAAAATACAATAATATACGGCACGCCTGCCCGGATCGACGATCGATAGTCTTCCGCTCCGTCCGTCCGTCGTGAGAACTAACTGCGGGCCGCCGTATGCAACGGCCCGCAAACAAGCCCAATTCCTAGAGGCCCGCGTTATGCATCCACCCTTGCCACCTCCTTGCAACGAGAAGAAACCGGAACATGTAGGAATTTTTTTACCAGAATAATATTTATTTAAATAAACAATTGTAGATTTAGATGTTACTTTTAACTAGGGATGAAAACGGATCGGATACGAACGGATATCACTCATATTATATTTGTTTTCATATTTCTGTTCGGATTCGAATTCGGACACGGATAGCGTTCGGATACATATACGAATACGGATTGACTCGGTTACGGATACGAATAATGAGTATCGAATACGGTATGAATCGGATTCGGAGAAGGTCGGATACAAATATCTATTCGGATATTGAGTAAAAGCAAGTATATATATATATATCATACGTCGCATGAAACCATTACACCACTCTATGAGTCCATAATCCATCTAGATTAAGCCGAAAGACTAAAGAGTAAAGCAACAAATAAGATAAAGATACTGAGATACATCATACATCAAACATCATATAAGCACTAATCTTCATGGCATGAGTAGAAATAGCCAAGCACATTGCTTCATGGGTCTCATGGAGTCATGGTCATGGATTCAAGATCTACAATCCTTATATAGGCCATTTTTTTATTTTGAGAAAGTTTGAACAAAATGTAGTTCAAATTTCACAAGTGTGTGACATAGTTTTAGAAATGCAGTATGAGATTTAAGAATTTGTGACTAGTGTTTGATAAAACTTTCTCAAATGGGAAAATGAGCTATGTAACAATTGTATATCTTGCTGAGATGATCAAACTTGGTATTCAGAGTTTTTTCATCTGAGGTCATTTAGTGTCTCATTTGAGCAAGTTTGACCAAGTCAAATTTGGTCAAATGAAAAAACAACACTTTGACTCTAATATTATGAACTCTAAATGACTTCAAATTGAAAAGTTTTGAATACCAAGTTTGTTCAACTCATCAAGATCTACAATTCTTGTTTTGGTCAACTTTCCATTTGAGATAGTTTGGACGGTTCAAATTTGTGATTTTTAAATTTCGATGCTTACAAACTAGTTTTCGGAACCCTAGATTGTCTCAAATTGAAAAGTTTTGAATACCAAGTTTGTTCAGCTCATCAAGATCTACAATCCTTATATAGGCTATTTTTTCATTTGAGAAAGTTTGAACAAAATGTAGTTCAAATTTCACAAGTGTGTGACATAATTTCAGAAAGTCTATATGAGATTCAAGAATTTGTGACTAGTGTTTGATAAAACTTTCTCAAATGGGAAAATGAGCTATGTAACAATTGTATATTTTGCTGATATGATCAAACTTGGTATTCAGAGTTTTTTCATCTGAAGTCATTTAGTGTCTCATTTGAGCAAGTTTGACCAAGTTAAATTTGGTCAAATGAAAAAACAACACTTTGACTCTAGTATTATGAACTCTAAATGACTTCAAATTGAAAAGTTTTGAATACCAAGTTTGTTCAACTCATCAAGATCTACAATTTTTGTTTTGGTCAACTTTCCATTTGAGATAGTTTGGGACGGTTCAAATTTGTGATTTTAAATTTCGGACGTGTACAAACTAGTTTTGAACCCTAGATTGTCTCAAATTGAAAAGTTTTGAATACCAAATTTGTTCATCTCATCAAGATATACAATCCTTATATAGGCCATTTTTTCATTTGAGAAAGTTTAAATAAAATATAGTTCAAATTTCACAAGTGTGTGACATAGTTTCAGAAAGTCTATATGAGATTCAAGAATTTATGACTAGTGTTTGATAAAACTTTCTCAAATGGAAAAATAAGCTATGTAACAATTGTAGATCTTGCTGAGATGATCAAACTTGGTATTCAAAGTTTTTTCATCTGAGGTCATTTAGTGTCTCATTTGAGCAAGTTTGACCAAGTCAAATTTGGTCAAATGAAAAAACAACACTTTGACTCTAGTATTATGAACTCTAAATAACTTCAAATTGAAAAGTTTTGAATACCAAGTTTGTTCAACTCATCAAGATCTACAATTGTTGTTTTGGTCAACTTTCCATTTAAGATAGTTTGGATTGTTCAAATTTGTGATTTTTAAATTTTGAATAAATATCCGGATAATATCCGTTTTTAAATATCCGGATATATCCGATACTTATCCGGATTATCCGATATCCGCCGGATATCGATGATATTACATCCGTATTTGATATCCGCCTAAGATATCCGTTTTAGTATCCGTATCCGAAAAAAACCCAGATATCCGAGTAACTATCCGAATAAGTGTTCATATTTGTTCGGTCGAACGGACGGTCGAATAAATATCCGTACCGTTTTCATCCATACTTTTAACAAATAGCAGATCTAGCATCTTTTCGGCAGTTGAATATCCGATATGGAAGCCATGGCCCCCTCAGATGCCGATAAGCTGACGTGGCAGCTGACTTGCACCTCGTCGTCCGATTAGGCCTATCGTCTCATGGTGCGGCGGACAGGGCTGGGAGACCCGGTCCTTTGGTAATCTGAAAGACCCTCATCCTTGACGTGACACGTGGCCTTGCATCAATCCTAAGGTCCAGTTTAGTTGCAAAAAATTTTGCAAAATTTTTCAAGATTTCCCGTCACATCAAATCTTTAGACGCATGCATGAAGCATTAAATATAAATAAAAAATAAAACTAATTACACAGTTTAGACGAAATCTATGAGACGAATCTTTTAAGCCTAATTAAATTATAATTGGACACTAATTGCTAAATAATAACGAAAAACACTACAGTTACATTTTGTCAAAATTTTTGGCATCTAGGCCTAAGGGGGTGTTTGGTTCCAGGGACTATTTTTTAGTCCCTGTCACATCGGATGTTTGGACACTAATTTGAAGTATTAAATATATTTTAATTACAAAACTAATTACATAGATGGAGACTAATTTGCGAGACGAATCTATTAAGCCTAATTAGTGCATGATTTGACAATGTGGTGCTACAGTAAATATACTCTAATGATGGATTAATTAGGCTTAATAGATTCGTCTCGTAAATTAGTCTCCATCTATGTAATTAGTTTTATAATTAGAATATATTTAGTACTCCAAATTAATGTCCAAACATCCGATATGACATGAACTAAAAAATTAGTCCCTCGAACCAAACACCCCCTAAATCCACCGCTCGCAACTCGCGTCTCGGTTACCAACGCACACGGCGTTACAGACCTTTGTCTTCCATCGGAAGCCACCGAGATGGGCCACCTAGGGGTCGCCGTGCTGGAGGCCGCCGCAGGCTCGGGCGTGGCAGAGGTTGAGCGGAGGCCGCCGGTACGCGGGATCGTGTGTGGCGGAGCTCGAGAGGAGGCGGCGCTCTGCCCGATCTGCCTGGAGCCCGGCCCCTCGCTTCGCGGACGTGCCGGTGTGCCTGCTCGCCAGCCGCCGTGACCCGCGAGCTCGATGGCCTGGGCGTCGACGTCGACGCCGACGCACTCCGCCTGCTGGCACACCGTCTTCGACAGCCACCTCGGCGCCGTGGTATGCCCGCGGGCTTAATTGGGAAGCCTCAAAAGCCACTCCATTGACGTAGAATCGTAGATGATACCTGATCCGTAGCTTCTTGCTGCTATACATCGATGATACCTGATCCGTATCATACACCACATTTCTGCCGATGGAACGTGATCTCCCACACTGCCTTCAACACAGATTACTCTTAACTTTTTGCAAGATTTGGAAAACTAAGCTCTCACAGATTACACTGGCAAGACCATTTATTTATTCCTTCCAATCCAGAACAACTTTCTTTGTTCTATGTTTGTCCTCAAGTCCAATGTCTAATTGACTCTGGTTTCTGAGTTAAAGTAATGGAAAGTCTGACTAAATCGATAAAATGGCATGTTAACAGGCACATCAAATCTAATTAACTGAATTCCTTTCATCTGTCACCTATATCACTATATGTGCTGCTTGCACTAGTATCACTTTTGTCACTACATGAGCTGAAACACTTCCACTAATTTGACACAGTTACTACTCCATTGTGGTGCACAGAGTCGACTCCCAGTCTCCTATATAAAGAGCCGATGCCCCTCTCCAAGGTACATACAAATTGATAGTTCATATTGCGTGGAAGTTTCAGTTTGGGTTAATTTTGAACTAGCCTATAAATATTCACATGCATCAATCAATAATGATAGCTCTCTTTATCTAATTGGAGGGTTGATCAAGAAAGGTCTGTCTGCTTTTGAGCCATGCTATAATTTTCCATTCTAATAAAAAATCACTTCAATGTTTTTGATTGTCAATAGTCAATTTCTCGTGATGGACGAATACATTGTTTTTGGCCCACTTTGTTCTCGGTCAATAGTTAGTGGCTACAAGTAGAACAAGTTGATAGTTCCTTCCTGCGGAAAGGCAAGGTGAAACATTGTCTGAATATTTTCCCCTTATTTTACTCTTACCTAGTTCTCTACTGGGTTTCCAAAATTTGGTTGATCAGATTTATTTTCCCCACTATTTCGTCACAATTTTATTTGCTGATATAGTCTTCTTTCTGAATGACTGACCTATAATGATTTCTGCAACTTAAAGTTTAGAGAGTGCAATGATAACAACTGTACTGTATTAGTACCTTTATGCATTTCCAAATGCTTCTGCATCAATCGTGGCAATTTTTTTTTCTTGATTGCTGCTTGGACCAAACCTCAGTCATGGCATGTTTGGACTCCGATTGCTAACTTTCCTGCTTGATGTAGGCAATTTGTCCATCTTTTACTTGTAAAATCTGTATATTAGCCTCGCCTCTTTATCTTGATGCCTATAAACATGTGATGGGTGTAACTGGCAATCTTCAAGACAATGGGCTTAGCTGATAACATGCAGAACTTGTGATGCATGGGATGTGAAACCCTTTTGCCTAATAATAAGTAAAAACTCCACCAAATGCACTTTTGGAAGGAATTTTATCTATATCGTATATCCTGAGTGCTGTGATGCCTGTCCAGGAAGGAAATGTAATGCGTCAGTTCCATAATTTTATTTTGTGTTAGTAGTTGGTGGAACTTGTGAAGTTGTGATGATGTTTTGGGGTTTGTGCCTGGCAGTTGTTGCTTCTGTCACTGCAGTTTGAGCCTTGTATTAGCGTTTCTCTGTTCTGGTTTTAGGTGAGTACTTGTTATTTTGAACTTGCTGTACATTGCTGTGAGGTAGTGGGATTCAGGTTTTCCTGTTGTGGGAAAAAATGTAATTGGAAATGACATTAATGCATTTCTTTTCTTTTCTTTAGTAACCTGCCAATGGAACTTGAGAAACTATGCACTTTTCCAGTAAGTATTGTGATGAGTAGTGCATGAGAGGATCTAATGATTTTGATGGTTCCTACTCCCCAGCCTGTAATACTTGGCAGTTTGTGACTAAATGCAGCTCTGGTTGAGACCTGGGGCTTGTTCTCATTGACATGTTTGCCATTGCATTTGTAATTTCAATTTTAGCTTTCCTCAGCTTCTGCCTACTGATGCCTGGTCTCTTGTAATTTCAGGGTCATCTGCACACCTACAGGTTCTGCGACAATGTGTGGACCTTCATCTTGACAGACGCAAGTTTCAAGAACGAGGAGACAACAGAGCAGGTGGGCAAGGTGAAGATTGTGGCCTGTGATTCCAAATTGCTCGGACAATAGACTCGTGTACCTCAAGGAAGGAAGCTCTTAGCGGGGTGGCATTTGTCTGGGCATCAGTGTTACTCTTCCGCTACACGCCTAGCCCACGCCCGAACTGAACTGGACTACGGCATTTGTATTGCCTTTTTCGTACTGTATGTGTCTTGTATACAATCTGCTGCTGTTATAGCAGCCAGAGTCTGGCATGGTGTGACAGCAAGCAGCTGCAAACTTGTTTTACTATTTGGTAGCGCCTGTGTAACAATTTTCGACTCACCTATGATACTAATACGGCACTGTTATTGACAAAATGACTAAAGGAAGAGTGGTAGTAGATGTTCAGGCCGTCCCTGAACCCTGATGACTCTATCATACATGTGAAATGGAACAGTATCTCTGAAGCTTATCCACTTGGTCATGTTGGGTTGATATACAGCAACGGCACGTATGGATACAGTCAGGCACACAATCTATGCAGTTAGCTTTTCATGATATTTTTTCTAATATCCCATTTCTCTTAGTGTTTTTTTTTCTGCAGTACATAATAAAAGGTTAGATATTCTTGCATACTCTAGATGGCTCATATACACTTGTCACCAATGCTGCAGCGCATTGTTACAACTGGAAATATGGGCCGTGGATACAAAAGACTGATTGCTGTTTTTCAGGTGCAGGTAAATAACAAGTACTTGGAGGAATCTATCTAGTATGAAATTGATCCTAACATGTGCAAATAATACCAATGAACATGGAGACACCTTCCTGGCTCCTTGCTTACTTCGAGTTGCAAAATACATGAATGTTACCACATGTATCATCACTTCATTTATCAAGTTCTAAACGACGAGAAGTAGGCACCTTATGATGAGCTTGGAGTAAGAGCTTTATAAACTCTCCTTGGATTCTGTTGGTCCCGAGATCTCTCGCACGGGAGACAGAGAGCGCGCGCACACACACAACATAAGCACCAGCGTTGGTCGGAGCTCTGCAGAAGAGATGGCAAAACTGAACTCGCTCTCTTTACTGAGTTGCAGTGAAAACTATATATACAAATCTACACATTTAATCATAGTACACAGACATGCCAAGCTGCCATGCTGCTATAGTGACTAAATGTGACAGCAGGACTGACTTTGGCACCTGCCCCTGCTGTGGCTACAGTGCGGCAGGGGAGCCTTACGGTGCCTGCCCCTGCAGCGACTACAGTGCAGCAGCACGGAGCCCTTTCGGCGTCTGCCCCTGCTGCACGTACAGAGGGAGAGCAGCAGATTACTTTACAATTCTTCCCATAATCCTGCTGCTAATCCTAGAACATCCACCATGCCGATCATCTTCTTCAGCTCCGTGAACCGAAGACGGCCGAGCGGCTTGGTGAGGACGTCCGCGAGTTGCTGACCAGTTTCGACGAACTCGATGACGATCTGCCCTCCATCGACACAGTTCCTGATGAAGTGGAACTTGACGTCGATGTGCTTGCTCCGGTCGTGGAGAACTGGATTCTTCGCGAGGGCGATGGCGGGTTGGTTGTCCACCATCAGTGTTAGTGGGTGAGCTTCCACACCGGTCAGCTCGCCCAGCAGCTGGCGCAGCCACACAGCTTGGCACGCCACTGTGGCCGTCACCATGTACTCTGCCTCGCACGTGGACAGCGCAACCACCTTCTGTTTCAGCGACAGCCATGAGATTGGAGCCGACCCGAGGAAGACGAGCACGCCAGAGGTGCTCCGCCGTCCGTCGATGTCCCCGGCCATGTCTGCATTGCTGAACACAGTGAGCTGCAGCCCACTTCCGTCGGTCTTGGGGAAGACGATCACCTGATCCACAGTCCCCTTGACGTAGCGCAGCAGCCGCTTCACCGTGGCCCAGTGATCCTCTCAGGGATCCTCCATGAAGCGGCTGACGTAGCCCACGACGAACGCAATGTCCGGCCTCGTGTGGACTAGGTAGTGCAGACCGCCGATGATGCTCCGGTAGAGTGTTGTATCTACCTTCGTCGCGGTACTGGCCTTCGTTAGCTTCAGCTGCTCCTCAATTGGAGTCACGCACGGCTTGCACTCAGCCATGCTGCTCCGCTCCAATAGCTTCAAGGCGTACGCGATCTGATCGAGCGTGAGCGCCTCTTTCTCCTGTCTCACCTCGATGCTGAGTTAGTAGGAGAGCGCGCCGAGATCGCTCATTCGAAAACAAGCCGCCATCTCGCGCTTGAAGCTATTGATGTCCTCCGCACGCGTGCTGGTGACGATCAAGTCGTCCACATACATGCCGACGACGAGCTCCTCCTTCCCCCATCGCCGCATGTAAAGCGTGTGTTCGGTTGTGCACCGTGTGAACCCAAGCTCGCCCAGCGTGGCGTTCCACGCTCGCGGGGCCCGTCGAAGCCCGTAGAGCGCCTTGCGCAGTCGGAGCACCCTGTGCTCTGGTCCCTTGACGGCAAAACCCGGAGGTTGCCTGACGAAGATCGTCTCCGCTAGCTCGCCATTGAGGAAGGCCAATTTTATGTCCAGGTGATGGACACGCCAGTCATTCGCTGCTGCCAAAGCTAGCAGCAGTCGGATAGACTCCATGTGCGCTACCGGCGTAAAGACTTCCTCAAAGTCGATGCCCTCACCTGGACAAAGCCTCGGGCGACGAGGCGCGCCTTGTGCTCGACAATGGCGCCGCGCTCGTCCCGCTTGACCTTGTACACCCACTTCAGGCCGATCGGACGGCATCCTGCAGGTGGATCGATGAGCTCCCAAGTCTCGTTTTCCTCGATCGCCTTCATCTCCTCCAGCATCGCCCGTCGCTAATTTGCATCGCGCTCGGCCAGCGTGAACGTGGGTGGTTCCTCTGCACTGATGAGAAGCAGCTTTGGGTCATTGAGCAGTCGACCCGCCAGGCCTGAGAACCCTATGCCGCCGACGATGTCATCTAGCCTGCAGAACCGCACCTCCTCACCATCGTGGAAGGCATCCACAAATTCGATGATGTTGCTTGGAGGTGAGACGAACTCGATCGACGTCGATGGGGTCCCATGTTCCGTCGGAGTGGTCGGCACAACACCTGGAGTGCTCGGCACCCCGGCTGCTAGTGCTAGGCACTACTCCTAGACCGCTTGTCACCACTCCTGGAGTGGTTGGCACCACTGCAGGAGTGCTCGGCACCAATGCAAGACCTCTCAGGTTCTCTACAGGGGCGTTCGGCACCTGTCCTGGAGTGGTTGGCACCACTGCAGGACCGCTCAGCACCACTCCTAGAGTGCTCGACACCCCTCCCGGAGTGCTCGGCACCACCCCAGGAGTGCTCGGCACTCCTCTCGGAGTACTCGACACCGCGCCAGGAGTGCTCGGCTCTGTTGCTGGAGTGGTCGGCACCTCCTCTCCAGTGTCTCCACCACCGTGGATGACCAAGTGCTCAATGACGAAGGTGCTGGTGAATCCGCCAGCTTCCCTTGTGTTGGACTGTCCCAATCCTAGGCCGCCTTCTCATCGAACACGACGTCGCGTGAGACAACAACCTTGCCTTCATGTGGGTCATAGAGCCGGTACGCCTTGATGCCTTCCTCGTAGCTCAGGAGCACCATCGGTGTGCTCCTATCCTCCAGCTTGGTGAGGACCGACTTCGTCTTCTTGACATGGCCGATGTAGCCAAATGTCTGGAGGAAGGACACGTTCAGCTTACGCCCATACCAATCTTCGAATGGCGTCACGCCCTTCAGGGCCTTTGTGGGCGCACGGTTGAGGATGAACACCTCCGTAGTCACCGCCTCACCCCAGAACCTTGCCGGCATGCTCTTGGCCTTCATCATGGATCGAGCCATGCCGACCACCGTCTGGTTCTGCCGCTCCTCCATGCCATTCTGCTATGGCGAGTACGGCGCGGTGTGGTGTCGCACTACACCCTGATCCGCGCAGTACGCAGCGAACTCCATCGAAGTGAATTCGCCGCCGCGATCTGTCCTCAGCACGTGCAGCTTCTTTTCGGACTCTGCCTCCACCCGCACCTAGAACCTCTTGATTGCCTCCGCCACCTCATCCTTGCTCGTCAGGAGTTACAGCCACATATATTGACTGCAATCATCCACGAGTAGGAGGAAGTACCATCGACCACCGTTTGTGGCTGGCGTGATTGGCCCGCATAGATCACCGTGGACAAGCTCGAGAGCGTTCGCCGGGCGATACTTGGCCGCCTTTGGGAATGGCAGTCTCCTCTGCTTCCCGCCAGACAACTATCACGTAGCTCGCCTACGTGCTTGATGTGGGGCAGCCCTCAGACCATCTTCTCCAGCCGACCGAGCGCGTCAAAGCTGAGATGGCGAAACCAGGCATGCCACAACCACGACTCCTCAGTGTGCCATGCTGCTAGGCACACCGGCTGCTCCACCTTCAAGTCAAGCAGGTACAATTGATTATGTGAGGGTTTTACCTTCATGAGAAGACGCCGCTCCCGATCCCAAATCTTCAGGATCCCGCTCTCGATCAGTACCTCACATCGGCGCTCGTCCAGCTACGGGATGTAGTACACATCCGTCAGCGCGCGGTGCTCACCGTTCTGGCACCTGAAGATGATGGTGTCGCGCCCTCGGATCGCCACCCTTGAGCCATCACCAAACTTTACCGTACTGGTCACGTTGCCGTCGAGCTCGGAGAAGGCTGCCTTGGAGCCCGTCATGTGGTTGCTGGCGCCGGAGTCCAGGTACCACCGCCGCTCCTGCTCGCTGCCCACACGTCTGAGGTGAACTTGGGCACGCGGTTCGTCGAGGTTGACTACCCTCAGAGCCTTGCCGTGCCCTTCCACCGCCATCACCTCTCCCTTCTCCTTGGCCTCAGTGTCGTGCAGTGCACAGAACATCGCCATTAGGAGAGTGGCCTCATCATCATCATCAGCCTACGCTAAATGAGCCTCAGCCTTCTTCTCCTGCTTGCGATTTGGGCACTCCTTTGCCCAATGGCCCATCTTCTAACAGCGCCGGCAGGCGTTGGGGTCGACCTTCATATTCTTTTTCTCCGAAGAAGCCTTGCCACGACGCTTCCCATCGCCACCGCATCTAGAGGAGGCTTCCCTAGACTTCTCCTTCATCCGGGCAGCCCACTCCTCCTCTATCAATAGCAGCTTGCCGCTGTCCGTCGTTGCTGTGGCCTGCTCCATGCGCTCGTCCACCGCCCGCAGACGGCCTGTCACATCCTCGATGGTGAGGGTGGACAAGTCCAGCATCGTCTCTATGGAGAGAGCGATCTGGATGTACTTCACTGGCACGGAGTGGAGGTACTTGGAGACCGCCTCTTCTTCGTTGATGGTGTCGCAGTGGCTCCTCAGCTTGCTGATGAGTGACTGCAGGTGGAGGGAGAAGTCCTCCACCGACTCACTATCCTTGAACTTGAAGTTGGCATATTCCTGCTTCAGTAGCTGGGCCGTCGCCTTCTTTGCACGGTCGGAGCCGATGCGCATCGCTGCAATGGCCTCCCACGCCTCCTTAGCAGAGTTCTTCACCCCCAACGGCGAGGATAGCCTCCAACACTGACATGTCGTCTTCTTCGTTGTCGGTGCCCTTGTCAATGTCATTCCAAAGCCGTCGGGCTCTGAGCTTGACCTTCATGGTCACCGCCCACTCCCTATAGTTGGTGCGAGTCAGCGTCGGTCAACTGTTGCCGCTAATCTCCCGCACCGTGAGCACGATGACCTCCTGTCGTGGCTGGGAAGCCACAGCAGCGCCGCTGCTGTCACCCATCTCCAAACCGTCCGTCATCGCCAGCGGTTAGTCCGGCGACGGCGCTTGTACAGCTCCGATACAACTTGTTGGTCCTGAGATATCCCGCACGGGTGCGCCGACCGCTCACCGTCGTTTCGACCACACACTACGACTGGAGGTAGAAGAGGGAGGAAGAACAGAGTACACACACACAACACAAGCACCAGCATTAGCCAGAGCTCTGCAGAGGAGATGGCAAAACTAAACTTGCTCTCTTTACTGAGTTGCAGTGAAAACTATATATACAACTCTACCCATCTAATCCTAATACACAGACATGTTAGGTTGCCATACTGCTACAGTGACTAGATGTGACAGCAGGGCTGACTTTGGCGTCTGCTCCTGCTGTGGCTACTGTGCGGTAGGGGAACCTTTCGACGCCTGCTCCTGCAGCGGCTACAGTGCAGCAGCAGAGAGCCCTTTCGACGTCTGCCCCTGCCGCACGTACAGAGGAAGAGCAGCAGATTACTTTACAGATTCTTGAATGAACATCATGGATTTTTTTTTCTTGACGCCAATGTTGTAGCAATAGCAGTAGCATTTGAGTTGAAATGTGCTATAAGTATCCAATAAGTACAAATTTTGCAGCCATGAGTTCTGCCCAACGCCATAAGCATCTAATAACTCTTGCCACCTCTTGTTAAAACGTGCTATTGATCTTTCTTCATATACACAATACTTGAAGTCCTTTAGAAAATCCTCATTATCGGATATTACTTGGGTAAGGTGTCTTGCAGCATTCTGGTATATGTGCCATATATAGGCAAAGGCGATGGCTTGAGTTTGGAAAAACAAGCTTAATTGCCTTTTCCATGGCAGTGGATTGATCTGTGAAAATGGTGGTTGGTTGCTTCCCAGACATTGCTTTCAAAAAATTACTAAATACCCATACAAATGAATCAGCACTTTCATCAAATAATAGTGCAGCTCCGAAAATGATGGTTTGCCTATCATGATTTGTTCCAAGAATAGGAGCAAAAGGCATTTCAGGTTTATTTGTCTGAAATGTAGTGTCAACGCACATGACATCCCCAAAGCAAGCATAATCTGCAATGGCCTGACCATCTGCCCAAAAGAAGTTACATATTCGGCCATCCTCTTTGTCAAATTGCACAACATAATAAAAAGAAGGATCTTGAACTTGTTTGTTCTCTAAATATTCCATTAGGGTTTGTGCATCTTGGGCTTCCAAGTACCTTTTACACCCACGACCAATGATGTTGTTGCAATCCATCTTCAAAAAATGCACATTCTCAGCTCCACCTGACCACCGCTGAAAAAAAAATCATATATTTCAGTTGGCCTAACACCAGCTTGCCGCATTTTGCTAATGATATGCTCGTCCGCTTTTGTCATACGCTGCTGTGATCTAAGCATGTGTGTCTTGTCAGGGCTTACAAAGCTATGATTATGAGCGAGTATGACTCTCTGCATCGTTCAAATCCCTTCTCGTGACACATAGAATTGGACACGAGCATTACAACATGTCCTTGTTGAAGCACGCTGTTTCTTTGGTTGATATGCTTGATTAGTGTTCTTGTGACCTTCATTACTGCAAACAAAATACTTCGAAGATAACGTGCCATCTGCTCTATGTTTAGTGTGGCACTTCTTGATACTAAAGCCGACTTTTCCGGCATATGCATTATAAACCTTGTATGCTGTCTTCCTCCGAAGTAAGGCTCTATTTAGTTCCTAAAAATTTTTACTCCAAAGTGTCACATCGAATCTTACGGCATATGTATGGAGTACTAAATGTAGACAAAAAAAAAACTAATTGCACAGTTGGGTGAGAAATTGCGAGACGAAACTTTCAAACCTAATTAGTCTATAATTAGGCACTAATTGCCAAATGGAAACGAAAGTGCTACAGTAGCCAAAATAAAAAATTTTCGCCAACTAAACGCGCCCTAAAGATCATGCCAACCTTTGATACAAGTTCAGTTGAGAAAGTTTGGTCATTACCCTACATACACCAAAGTCGCATATGCCATATCAGTTATTTATGCTGAGAGCACTCTTCGTAGAAATTACTTATGAATTACTTCGCCATTATACAAATATCTCACTAACCTCCAAACATGTTGCAGCAGTTTCTTCAGATTTCTCGTTGTCGGAGTTGAAATATCCACCACCATCCTCAAAGTTGGGACAAGAGATTTCGCCCACATCACCAAGAACAATCGGCTGCAACATATGGTCAGAAGACAAATGTGTGAACTTTCGGCGGTCAGGAAGGTGAAGAAGCTCCCGAGCGCTAGCTACTTATACCGTGAGCATACTTCATAACAAATCACTTATATATAATGTGTATATGTCACATATGTATGCTATAAATTACTTCATTAAATATAAATGCATTCCTCGCTCACCTCAAACGCTGCAATTCCTTCAGTTTTCTCAGCATGAGAGTTGAAATCTCCATCCTCAACACCGGGATAAAAACTTTCGCTCATATCACCATGGGCAGCTGGTTGCAACGTTAGGGCAAACCTACCGGCGACAGCTTCTGCCATCGGCCTCGGCTCCTTGAGCATGGACGACGTGGGGAAGCATGCGCCTGGCGTCGCGGCAGCATCTGCTTTGCTTCGATCCATGGTAGCTCCGCTCCGCGTAACAGGTCACTGACGCTTGGCTCCATCTGGCGCGCGGACTCCGGCCAAAGACTCAGGCGCACCGCGCACGTAGTTGCTGCTGCTGCTGGTGGCTTCCAAATTCCAATAGAAGGATGACTCAGGCGCACCTAGCTCCTGCTGGTGTTGGAGCCTTAACGTGGAAGTAACGGCCATCAAATCTCTACGAACTAAAACATTCATAACTATTTCGTCCACAGGTGCGACACCAAAACCGCTCCATACGATTAGATCAGAAAGACAACGCGCACTTGCTCTATGCGATCAGCTCAATCCCCATAACAGCCGCAGCAAATCAGAAAAGCAAAACTCAATTCCCTAAAAAACCTCAGAGGGTTTCGTCCACAACGTACATCGTGTACGCGCTTGCCCCCGAGAATACGTTGATTGGTCTTGCCAAAAGGAAAATTTCAAATGCTCGCTCCCCAAGATATAGGGTGCACGTGCATGCCCACATGCAAAATCCGGATTGGTCTTGGCCAAAAGAAAAATTCCGGATCAGTCTTAGCTTATCCACATGCAATCCGGATCGGACCACCTAAAAAGGAAGACGATTATTGTGTACGCGATCGCCACATCCACATATGTAGCTATCTTCTATCTATCTATCTATCTATCTATCTATCTATCTATCTACACCTAAAAAATCCCTACAGCTATCGTCTGCATCGCCCCGCCCCACGGCAAAACGCGCATTCGCTCTATGCGATCAGCTCAATCCCCATAACAGCCGCAACAAATTAGGAAGGCAAAAATCAATTCCCTAAAAAACCTCAGAGGGTTTTGTCCACAACGCACATCGAGTACGCGCTTGCCCCGGAGAATACGTTGATCGGTCTTGCCAAAAGGAAAATTCCGGATGCTCGTCCCCCAAGATATAGGGTGCACATGCATGCCCACATGCAAAATCCGGATTAGTCTTGGCCAAAAAAAAAAATTCGGATCAGTCTTAGCTCTGTCCACATGCAATCCGGATCGAACCACCTAAAAAGGAAGACGATCATTGTGTACGCGATCGCCACGTCCACATATGTAGCTATCTTCTATCTATCTATCTATCTATCTATCTATCTATCTATCTACACCTAAAAAATCCCTACAGCTATCGTCTGCGTCGCCCCGCCCCACGGCAAAACGCGCACTCGCTCTATGTGGTCAGCTCAATCCCCATAACAGCCGTAGCAAATCATGAAGAGAGGGTTTCGTCCACAACGTACATCGTGTACGCGCTTGCCCCCGAGAATACGTTGATCGGTCTTGCCAAAAGGAAAATTCCGGATGCTCGCCCCCCAGGATATAGGGTGCACGTGCATGCCCACATGCAAAATCCGGATTAGTCTTGGCCAAAAGAAAAATTCCAGATCAGTCTTAGCCTATCCACATACAATCCGGATCGGACCACCTAAAAAGGGAGACGATCATTGTGTACGCGATCGCCACGTCCACATAGGTAGCTTTCTTCTATCTATCTATCTACACCTAAAAAATCCCTACAACTATCGTCTGCGTCGCCCCACCCCACGGCAAAAAAAAAACACAGTAAAAAAAACCAACCTCCCTGTTTCCAAACCGAAGAAATCAAATACGGCAAAAAAAAACGTTTCCGAAAAAAACATATACACGGCAAAAAAATCCATTTCAGAAACAAACTCTTCCACATCTCCGTTTCAAAAAAAAAACGGCAAAAAAGAGTTTGCGAAAAAAAGATACAGCAGAAAAAAAACGTTTCAGAAACAAACTTTTCCACATCGAAAATCATATACAACAAAAAAACTATTTCCAAAACAAAATGTTCTACATCCAAAATCATATAAACGACTGATTATAGGCCGAAGAAACCGATCATCGAGTTTGGCCCTGAAAAAACTTGGTCTCTTGACCGACTACGGCATCCGGTCCAATCAGCATCCGCGTCGCCTGTACTTAATAAATCCACGGGCGTTTTCATGATGTTCTGGAGGAGGTAGTGGATGAACAGGCACGTTACTAGACGCCTCGTCGTCTGGCACACATTGGCCCGCATAAGGTCGCATGCCTTCGTGGCGGTGGCCGGAGACGGCGAAGACGAGGAGGAGTTGACCTGAGACACTTTCGAAGACAAGGAGGTGGTAGGCGGAGACATCATTGACGACGGTGTAGAGGATGAAGATGAGGTGCGGTGTATGTACTCGTAACTATCAGTGAAGTTGACGTCGTAGAGCGAGACGACGGCGAGGGCAAGCAGGACGCGCGCGAGGACCAGTGTGGCAACGGTGACGGAGATCATTCGTGACAACGGAGTGCCGTTGTGGAGCTTCATGGCCGCGAGGAGCGTACGTGAACGCAAACGACGAGAAAAAAAATCCTTGTGGACGGACACTCCAATATGAAAAAGAGGACAAAGATGCAGAGAGTAGATGAAAAGATAACATGGTTCTCTCTCTATATATATATATAAAGAAATTTAGAAATAGTTTAGGGTTGCCAATATAAATTTGTGTATTAATTTTTTTTTTATTTTCTGAAAATAATTAAATTGTCATGTAGATGCGCGTGAGTAAAAATATGACCTCGTTGCACGGGCATATATCTAGGGAGACTAGAAAAAGAATTGAAAGGAGCAAAGAGGATCCATATGCTTTCAGATTGTTGACATACACGTGTCGTTTGGGGGCCATGGTCTTCTTCCACGATTGAGAAAGGACCGGGTCCTCTAGAATTTGCCTCCTCACCACCTATGGACATCTTCCGAACTGAGTTGCCCTTTTTGCAGCTCGTTCAAATCATCAATTTGCACGCCGACTTGTTCATCCTATTACCATTAATCCAAATCCCAGGCTTATTCCACGGGTATGCTATGCTAATATATATAATGTATATGTATCCTAATAACAAAGAGGCAACATTTCCGCCATATTTTTGGACACATATTCTTGGTCTGGCCTCCTGCATTAGTCCATGTTTGAACGGCGACTTTTGTTACCATTCGCTGCTCAGACTGCTCTTCGTGCGTATAAGAGTCCTACACAGACTGTCTATCACACGAAATACTTCCAAGAATATAAAGATCCAACTCAAGAACCCATATTCCCGTCGGCAACTCAAGATCTCAAGATCCAAATTAAATCGAAATCTTCTGGCCCGCGAGGCGGCAACTACGTACCCGAGCGGCGGCGCAGAGGTTGAAGATGGTAGGGGAGACGACACGCCCTAGCCCCATCCTCGGTCCTGCGTGCTCGACGCCGTGAGCCCCGTGCCCCGCCGCCCGCCCGCGCAGCGCGTGCTCAACGCCACGTCCGCGAGGCGCGAGCTGCCGCCTACCCGCCTTCGCCGTCTCGCCGCTACTCGCGTTGTTGCGCGCCCACCTATGGACCCGGGGTACCTGGCCGTCGCCCCTCTGGCCACCGCCCTGCGTGGCCGCGGTTGGACCGAGAGAGTTGGCGCGAGGCGGCGGCGGGGTGCTGGGGTCGGGCCGCTGAAGCGAGTAGCGCACGCGCACGCGCACCAGCCTGGCCCAGTTCAGAAAATTTGCCAAATCTGCCGGGCCTGGCTCATCTCACCTCACCTCACCCGAGCGGTGCAGCCTGGATTTCTCTGCCCTTTCCTTCCCTTATTAATTAGGGAGACATACTTATTACCAGCCTGTTCGAGAGACGACATCGTGATTTCGGATTATTAATTATTTTTTACCTACATTTAATGCTCCATGCAAGCGGCTAAAAATTGATGTGATGAGAAAAAAAGAATTTGGAAGTGATCTAAAACAAGGCCTAATTGGGAAATTTACGATCGTTTACGAGAAAGCGAACAAGCTATACGTCCACACGCGCCGCCAGACCCTGACCTGATCCATCATCCCTATTCCCTCCTGCACTGCCCCAGCCTCCCCCGCCCGGCCTCCGTGGCCGCCCAGCCCTCGTATCCTACGCCGCTGTTGGTGCGCTGGCAGGCCCGCCTCTGCGACCGCGCCGAACACAGCCTCTGCAAAAACGGAGTTGACTGTCTTTGAATTCCCGAGTCGATCCGAGGCGTCATCACGTCATGGGGATGCTGAAGCTGAATCAGCTCATGTCCATGCATGAAGCGGCGGAATCGTCGACGGCAGATCCAAACCCGTAGTAAGTAGCAGCATCTCGTCCGTCCATATGATATTTTTCTTGCATTGATGAATATTATAATAGGTTCATCTAAATCGATCTGAGCAGCCTACCCTTTGTTTATTTAAGCATATATATAGCCTTAGGGCTTCTTTGTATACATGCATTAGCTGAGTGGAACCAGCTAACACCTAATTTATTTTTAGTTTGGTGATTGGTAAGAGACTATTAGCTGGGATCCAAACGGGCTAATTTTTAGCAGCTAAATTTTAGCCGTGTGGGATCCAAATAGAGCCTTACTCTTGAACAAAATTAGCGTGATTTGGGGAGTTTGTACTCTTTTCAAAAAGAAAAAGGAAAAATCTAGTTGGTTAACATTTTTTAGTGTTATGTAGAAACAGTTCGGGGTCTCTAAACTTTTAGACGTTCTGATACTTGCGCTGAAGATTAATTAGATTAACTATTTTTTGCACAGAAGATTAATTTCAATATGAACAAAATTAGATTTCTGTGTGCATTCTTTCCTGACCATGAACGGTGTGTCGCAGATGGATCCATTGCTTCATGTGCAAAAAGAAAGGGTTCACCCTGTCAACATGATGAACATTCTCTGGATGGCCAAATAAAGGGATACTCGGGATCAAATCTCCCTGAGGTACAGCATTGATGTTGGAAGATTTACATTGCTCAGTATGACTACTCGTTTTTTTTAAACGAATCAGGCAGGAGAGCTGCCGATTATATTAAAAAGAAGATAAGCCTAAAATGGGCACAACGAAAAAACAATGGCCAACAACCACGTCGCAAAACAAACTCAACAAAAGGAAAAGAAAAATAACTCTAACTCTATCCGGTCGGATTGGGACATCGACACGAGCCACACTCAAC